GTATTTGTATAACTATGAGATGTATTTGTATAACTATGAGATTATTTGTATAACTATGAGATGTATTTGTATAACTATGAGATGTATTTGTGTAACTATGAGATGTATTTGTATAACTATGAGATGTATTTGTGTAACTATGAGATGTATTTGTATAACTATGAGATGTATTTGTATAACTATGAGATGTATTTGTATAACTATGAATGTATTTGTATAACTATGACATGTATTTGTATAACTATGAGATGTATTTGTATAACTATGAGATGTATTTGTATAACTATGAGATGTATTTGTATAACTATGAGATGTATTTGTATAACTATGAGATGTATTTGTATAACTATGAGATATATTTGTATAACTATGAGATGTATTTATATAACTATGAGATGTATTTGTATAACTATGAGATGTATTTGTATAACTATGAGATGTATTTGTATAACTATGAGATGTATTTGTATAACTATGAGATGTATTTGTATAACTATGAGATGTATTTGTATAACTATGAGATGTATTTGTATAACTATGAGATGTATTTGTATAACTATGACATGTATTTGTATAACTATGACATGTATTTGTATAACTATGAGATGTATTTGTATAACTATGACATGTATTTGTATAACTATGAGATGTATTTGTATAACTATGAGATGTATTTGTATAAATATGAGATGTATTTGTAACACTATGAGATGTATTTGTAAAACTATAAGATGTATATGTACATGTATAACCAGTTATCCAGATTGGTCTAATATGTTTCCGGAATTGAATGTTTTGTACATAATTTATTATGCAAAATTACACATCAACCAGTAATGGCAGTTTGTTCTAAACAATATGAAATTGATTAAATGAGGTTTGTTCGATGTCATAGTTTACTTACTTGCGAATGTAAAACAAACAATCTGATTAAATGCTTAGATGCGCTGCTGCGCTCTAAATACGACAGGGCATCCCACATGAGGTAAATTTCAGTGATACCTGAATAAGTAAATAACATATATTAAAAAACAATCTAAGGTACAAACAGTAGTTTTTATAGAGAACTTGTGAAAGTAAAATAATATTTACCTGGTAAAAAGATTAGAATAGTTTCCCCTCTGTTTGCAAACATTTTAACTAAAGTGGCACAAAGCTCATAAAACCCATCTTGTAGCTGTGCTCTGACCGATGTTCTTGACACACCACGGCTTATATCAGTCATGTAACTTGACAATACTTCTCTTCCACCTTTGCCAGTGAAATCTGGTATAAATGAAGAAATCATGAAGTACAACTGATGATCATTGTAGTGATGTTACTGTGACACAGTTGATATTGTTGAGTGCCTTTCATTGTTGGGCTATATTAGGACTAGCCATGTTAAAACGAATGAGCATACCTCGGCGCGCTCTCACTCTAATATGTTTCTTGAAGAGAATATTTTGTCTAAAATTTATTCCAATCTTTTGTAACTTTTTGACAAACCCAAGAGATTAAAATGAATAAGTTGCTATATTTGCAGACAATTTAAATTTAAAAGAAATACTAAGAAATTATTATACTGTATTTGTGGTGGAGGTTACAAAGAAAGGTTTCTCATTCGAGGGAGATAAATCGGTGTTCCTATTGAGGCTATTCAACTTGAAGCAGTTTTCACTGAAAAAGATCACATCCCAACAAAAGTAAAAAAGTACAGTGAAATCAAAGAAATCGTTGTGTTTAAACGACACTTACATTTCGTAAAAAGACGTCGAAACGTTTTAGCCAAGTCACCTGTAGAGATTGAATTCGTTGAATGAAGGTCAGACTCTTTTTTCTTACGTTCTTCTTCGGCCCACACAAGATTAAATTGTATCCAAGCACTCGCCAATGCTCTGATATCACGAGGTTCAAGGCCGTCACCATATTTAGATACTAAGTCATCAATGTAAATAAAATCAATCTGATGTTGTCTTCCTGAAACCAGTATAGGTGCAGTCCCTGCTCCTCCAATGAAATAGCTGTAATACAATAAATATGTTGATATCTGATATTGTCTTCGTGTCAACAATATATACTCAACCGTTTAACTGATTCTCCAACAAAATAGGCTATAAAGTGTATGACAATCCAATTATTTTAAGCTGTGTCAAACGACTTCCAACTGCAATAATTATTACGTTTCAGCGCAATGGAACGTGACTAACAGTACTAGAAATAAAAACAAATTGCGAGAGTCCTTGCCATCCAACCATGCAACATTCAGAGTACTCAGCAGCTTTAGTAACCGTGCGGACATATTATATATGATCATCACATACAATCACTCTTATTCTGGAATCCATGAAATAATAGGAATTTGCTTCTACTATTGTTTTGATTTACACTGGACACCACATTTGAAATTTAAACTTCTCGCCCTGTATTTGTTACTAATTTAACATCGTGACTGCCGGTGATTACATCTAAGTATAATTTGATTCAGATGTGAGCCCAATCTGATTAAAATAAGATCCTAGTTTGGGCTTTTATTTATTTATTTATTTATTTTTTTTGGTTAATATAATATCATTCATATTTTTTTCATATATTTTACTATTTTTTAAAAAAAAATATTTGCTGGTAGTTTTTTTTAAGTTTTTTTAAGTTAACAAAAAAAATAAAAAAAATAAATAAATAAATAAAAGCCCAAACTAGGATCTTATTTTAATCAGATTGATGTGAACCTTGATTAACCAGTAAGCGATAATGCCCACAAATACACATTATGTCGGCTTTTTGTTCAAATATATGACCAATACATGTTTAAGAATTCGTGTAACACACATGTTACTCTGTACAACCTCATCTGTATTAAAATAAAAGGTCAAATTACTTCAAAATCTCCATATTTGGTATTACTAGAAACTGCTCAAATTTGCACTGTCTGCCGGAATGTCGATCCCAGACATGACGATTCATCCTGACACAGTCTTGGAAATCACATCGAACAGATCAAATAAAACCAACCACCCAAAATTTATAATAACAAATCATACGACTAAAGATTTTACATGTAGATTCACTTGTCACGTGGTTGTAATACTGTAATCTTTTAATCCTGTAATATGTATGTAAGCTGTAATACAAAATTAATGTATTGAGTGTCGTATGTATGTATCGTAAGAGGTTTACAGCAATTATTTGAGCAATGGGCATTTTATATAGCACCAAGTTAACGACAAATTAATTGGTCAGCAATGACTAGACAAGCACTCATAATATAGCAAAGGGTTCTATGAGGCACTTGTTTTCTCTCACACAAATGTCGGGTTACTCAAATTTCTTTTTATATTTAAACGTTTACACAATGTACGTGATAAAAATAGAAAGACAAAAACAGGTTAGAATTTTAAACAAAAACAGACAACGAAAAAATGCATCAAACGTTTTTAATTTTACGTTGGTTTCTTAGTTTAGCATCTCGCTAATTTCTTATTTTAACGTACATGCCATCTAAACACAATACGTCAACAACACTATGCTGTGAGTCGTGATATTAACATGTTTTCTCTTTATATTCAATAAAAATGACTTTAACTCACCTCGCGAAGAGATTACTTTGAAGTGTAGCTGACATTATAACAATCTTTATACGATGATTACCCATTAGTAGTTTAAGAATTAAACTCAATATATCGCCCTCAATCTTCCTTTCATGTGTTTCATCTAAGATTATATGAGTATACTTTTCAAGTACTGATGGAATATGCATTAGTTTCTGAGGAAAAGTGGTATAAGAAGATACACATTAATAATCAGACTGAAAGTGTTATTGCCACTCTTGGGGAAAAACTGGTAATACAGATACGTACCTGTAATACAAATCCAGTCGTGGCATATATAATTTGTGTACACGGTGAAACGCGGGACTCTCCACCAATCTGATAACCCACTGTATCACCCACGTTCTCGTTCATCTCATAAGCTACTCTCTCAGCCAATGATATTGCAGCCATTCGTCGTGGTTGGGTCACTATGACCTTCACATTGTTTCTGTGTTGATTATGTTTTAAAATTATATAAAAAAAATGTGACAGACTGTGAAATAACAGATTAATTAATTACCATTCACTCCTTTTTTATATGAATATTGAAGCTGGGCATCATCAGTCCTCAAGCAATCTTTCTGATAAAAAAAGTAAATAACATGTGATTTAAAATAGTGATTATTTTACCTGGTTCCCACTATTTGATTAGCTTCTTCAATGATGAACTGTGGGACTTTTGTAGATTTACCGCATCCAGTCTCACCCTGGATACATGTTACTTGGTGGTTCCGTATATGTTGCAATATCTCGCTTTTACGTTGCTGTATTGGTAAAGTTCTCCCCGCATTAGATCTCCGATATTCTTGAACCGAGATCATCGTCTCATAAAACTACTAATTATCTTATACTCTGTTTTAAAACAACAAATAATATGAGGTTATTCCTAAAATTCCGACGAGTAGCGAAAGCTGGTGAAACGTGAACATTCAAT